GATAATTTTAACAAATCAAACGGTACTTTGAATTTTGCCGTTGAATTTTGGCAGCCATTCATAGACGTTAATAAACATAAAATCTGTGGCCCTTTACTTGGGGTAGCCATCGAGATATCACGGCTTCTCAAAGTCAGGTAACAAACTATAAGTCAATAAATACTTATAGTCTGTCATTAAGTTTCTCATATGATTTAGTCTTAACTACATCGAGGATACCACCAATGATTGGATACCATTCTCACTGATAGATCCCAAACAAATTCACATAATTCTCAGTCCTTACCCTCCCATGAATATGAATCACACAAATGTTGTCAAACACCTGATACTAACGCACGTATTAAGTGATATACCGATGTTAAGCATACTATCGGCTAAAAGTTTGTCCTCCGGTGCGATCTTCCGATTATTACGGATTTTTGATTTCCAGATTTGGCTCATATTTTGTTTCATGTATTTAGTGTTAACTCTATTGTGTTATTTCATCAGAACTCCGGACAATGTTAACCACAAACACAAGACTTTTATACTATTTATCGGTATTATATTCAGGCAAAGTGTACAGAATTTTAGGCGTAAGGAGCGGACGGCACCCATAGTTATGATCTGGTATTTGGCGACATTTATATTCACGAGTGCCTTCTCGGGGGCCCTCCTGTCCTTCCTAGTGATGGCTAAACGTTATGATAAAATTGATTCAATCAGTGATTTGGCCAAAAGTGACATCAATTTCATTATATTTGAAGGCGAGACGAGTGTCGAGTACTTTAATGATCCAAATGAACCCTTTTATCATAAATTTTTTAATCGGTCTATCGTTGAGAATCCCGAAAATAATAAGCAAAAGGAATGGGAGCTAAAAACGTTTGAGGAGATAAATAGTGGTCAAAGTGCCATGGTTAGTGATAATCTGTTTTTGGACTTTTATTTTGCCACTAAATCACAGAATTATACCAATTTGTACCGATCGGTGAATAATCAACTTATTTTGCCTTATTTTATGCCAATAACTCATCACAATCCTGATATTTATGTCTTCGCTATAAACTTAATGTAAGTTTTTGTTTAGTAATAATTTTTAAAGCATTATTAGTTGATTCCTCGAGTATTATACTAACTGGTCTTATTGGTAGCCTAATAAAAATTAAACATAATTTAATTGGTTAGTGGTATGATGTTTATTAAAACAAAAAATTATTGTAATCAAAATATTTTAGTTTTAAATTATATTGATGAATTATATTTAGTATTTATTTCTGTTTAACAAAGTATTGAGCATTTGCTGGAAAGTGGAATCTATGAGATGTGGATAAAAGAGACTCTATTCATGAATATTAAGGACAAAAACAGTTATTCAAAGTTAGATTATCTGAGCGATAAATACAAGTGTTATCCGTTAACCATCAAACATTTCTCTGTCATTATAATTATCGTTATTTTGTTATGGAGTCTTGGCTTCATTATAGTTATCATTGAATTAATTTATGTAAAACTCAAAACTAGAAAACAATTAAATTTTAGTAATAACTGTATTAAGTTTCATAACAATGAAATACAATACGATAAAAATAAGTTAAGCTAGTTAACAGTGTTAATATAGTTGTTATTTATAAATAATAATGTATGACAGTCCCATTGAGTATAAATTAGATTTTTTACAACTAATGTCATCATAAAGTACTGAATAATCAGTGACTTGTATATAAAAACAGAAGTCAAAAACATATTTACATATTTTCTATTATCTACACAAACATACGCTTACATTAATGTTGATTAAAAAATTGTTATTTAATTAAAATTCATTGTAAAACTGAATATTGAGAATATAAACAATTATTTTGAGTGATATTCTGAGTGATAAATATTAATGGAAGTCATTGATGAGGAAAAGTCTTTACCGGACAGTGAGATCATGTACTCAAAACATACGGATGACACCGACACCGATAACCCATTCCTTGAGGGTAGGGATAGTCCATCACCACCTCCACCATCACTACCACCGCCACCACTGCCTCGATCACCAGAACCTCATCACACAAATGATATGAAACGTGAAGAATCCAAAAGATCTAATGAAGTGATAGTTAGAGAACACTCGGGCCAGAGAGTGGCCACACATTTGGCTTTCAATTGCAATGTGGAACAGGAGATGAGAGAACTCTGGGAAGTGGTATCCAAATCGGCTTACGATAAGGGCCTGGAGTCTAGCAATATATCCCGAGCCCCCCGTTTGGGCGACACTATCCTGTTTTATCAGCAGAGGTCGGTTGAGGCCAAACCATTCCTCTGGAGGTCAGAGATCATTAGATTTCCGCCGAAAGGGGCCACCGATTTGAGTACAGCCGTCATATCCGGTGTGGCTATCATTGACTCCAAGAGGACAGGGATGGGAGGGGAGGCTACTATTGTGGACGGGGGTATTGGGTGTACTTTTGTCGAGATTAAGCTGTCGTCCAATTGGTTCAAAGGCTATTCGTATACTATTATAGTTATCGGTAGATATGTGGACAGAGATTGTAATGTGAATTCTGTTCACAATTATAATGCATTAACTAATGAATAAATTTGGGATTTAATGTTATGTTCAGATTATTTGTATAAAATGTATTTATAAATAATATTTAAATGATTTTTAGTAAAATTGTATTTTGTTCGTAAGAATTAAATTTAAAAAATAGACAAATATAAGACCTTATAATTATAATTGATTTAATATGTCAAATTAGTGATACATTATAATAATGTTTGTTGAGTACGAGTAAAATGACTGTAAATTTCATTGAGCTGTCAATCAGTCGAGTGTTTAATTAATAAAACAATTTTATTACAAATGAGTTTGCAAACATTTTCTAAATGTGTATGGTTCATATTAAATGAATCATATATTTATATTTAACTACAAACATAAAATTCAAATTAATGTCCGGCTCACTTATCGAGACAATAGAGTCGATTATCAAGTTTAGCGATGACCAGGATGTCAGCCACTTGTGGAATATGATTGGCAATCAATCCATGAAAGCCAGTGGTTATAACCTGATCGTAGGCTTTCCCGATGTGGGCGATACCCTGCTATATATGCAGCTCATATCCCGCGAGTCCCGGCCCTTAAACCGTCGTTCCGTTGACATTGAATTTCCTCCACAAGCCATGAAAGATATGTACAAAATGTTTATCTCTGGGATTGCAGTCATTAATTGCAATACTAATGGTGATAATGGTGGACAGGCTTTCATAACATCAGGAGGGGTGGGCATGGATTGCGTCAATATTAAGCTCACCGGGAACATTTGCCAGGGATTCTCATTTTGTGTCATAATTGTTGGAAAATATTTAAATCATATAAACTGCAAGTTATTGCAAATTAATCAAAGGCTCAAAGAATTGAAGAATTAATTTTTAAATAAATTATAAGATATTGAATATTAATGTAAGTAATGTTTATAAACATAATTTATAATAAATCATTGTGTACAATAATCTATAAAAATCACGTTTGATCAAGAATAAATCTATTAAATAAATATTATTAATATGTGAAAACTTTTATTTTGTTACCTCAATATTGAAATAAATCCAGATTATTATTATTAATATTCATCAAATACAAGTTTGTATTAATAAAGTAATTGACAACTTACTATTTAACTCAAGTAATCCTTGTTAAGAATAATCAATCAAGTCTATAAAAATGAAAAATTATTTGCTAACTTATAGCAAATAATAATACATTGACTAAAAAGAAATTGCAATATTTGTTTTCGTGCTAATAATGGGTGGTTTGTGTTGCTTTACATTTGAACGAAAGGCTTTCGTGTCCTCACAAATGGACACAATTAGCGCCAAATTATCCGATTTTAACGCAAAGACAGACGACGTCCGCGACTTATGGGAAGAGGTCTGCGACTATTGTAACGCCAAGAAGTGCCACAATAATGTGGTCATTGGTGTCCCACATATGGGAGACACCATCCTATTGCATGAGGTGCTCACTAAACACCCCAACCCTCTGTTCAAAACGAGTGATACGATTAGTTTTCCGTCCAAGAAGTCGATGATATTCAGCGACAGTGTCCTCATAACCGGCATTGCAATCATTGATACGCTAAATGACGGCACCGGTAGTACGGCTACCGTTGAGTCGGGTGGAGTGGGCTATGGTTTTGCCAAAATCAAAGTGATTTCAAAGTTTCGCAAAGGCTTCTCGAGTCAAGTGATTATAATCGGCAGATATGTTCAAAAGGATATCAAGGCTTTGCATTCATTTACTAAAATGTAGTGATTTATCATTATTTATTACAATTGAAAATTCTGGATTAAAAATAAGTAAAGTATTTATAAAATACAATAATTAATTATAGTTTGAGTTAAAATATAAGAATGATTTAATAAATTAGTGATAAAATGACAAAAAGTTAAGTTTTTATCTGATCTATGAAACTTTGATAAAGCGTTTATCGCTATATTGATATAAAAATGATAACTTAATAAATAATCTAATATTTAGTATCATTAAATGACATATTTGTACTTGTGTACTTATACAATGTTAAGTAAATAAGTGAATAAATGGTAAAAGATGTTTTATATATAAATATAGAGTATTACATGTCTGTCCTTCTCTATGAAATTGAAAAGATTTTGCGATTAAATCAATTGCTTTAATGTATTGCCTGAGTATAAGATAATCTCGAAGTCGACGAGTGGACACATTTTGGACGTCTCGGTATTCCGGAGGAATGACATATCTTTCCGATTTGCTTAAGTAGTGTTCATTAGCTGATCCAATCTCAAGACATAATGCCATCTCAATCTCGCGTAATATATTGTTGTTATCAACCATTATATTCTTGATGTCATGTAAACCAAACTCTTTGTAGGATTTATAAAGTTTGTGATCCAAAAGCAATTGTTTAAATATGAACCCAAAACTCGCAATGTATTTATGAGCTGCTAATATAGTGTCCTGTTACAATATATGGACAATTTTGTTAAGATTTCATATACTAATTATAAAATGATTTTTTAATCATTAATTAAAATATGACTCAACTGTTTGATTGCAAACAATGTCTTCCGAAGCTAACGGTGCGATTGGTAGCCAATCAAAACGGATTAATTTCAAGTCCTCCAGGTTTGTATACAATGACTCAAAATCATCCTGAATAGTTAAGTAAAACATTAAAATTAATAAGTTATTAATAAAAATTAAACACAATATTATTAATTAAATGACAAGTGAATAACTTATTTGTTGAAAATTTGGTAAACTTACAAACATTGTGGTCATTTTAATGGCTCTGTTTTTAGCCACCGATGATCCGGTCTCTATATGTTTGAAAACATCTTTGAGTGCATTTTTAGAGATATTTGACATCAAATGTGTGGAGCGAATGGTAGCCCGACTGTGGTTACAGTGAATACGTGATTCAGACCCTGAATGGTAAGCATTTTGATCAGTTTTCAATGGATTACCACAAATGAACAGTAAATGATTTAAATTAGCTATTTCTAGTAACACATAAAAGCAAGCAATTATTGATATTATACTGTTATTCATTTTAAAAACAATTAAATACATTATAACTTATAATGTTTTTAAAAATATTAGTTGCTTTAACCACAATAAGGCATCAAACAGAAGTCTATTTGATCGGGACCTATTTATAGCTAAAGTTTATTTACGTAATATACCGGTAAAGTATTTAATTTCAATATTTTGTATTTTTATCCAATTTTTATCTAACATATGTCAAGGTGATTAGCATTTAGATCCTTACAGCTATTGAAATGCTATCATTAATAGGATTCTTACAGTAAAATGACGGGGGTGCACCATAGGAATAACTGATAAAATAGTTTTAGGAATATGATTAAATATTTTGAATTTTTCTATTATTATGTAATTTTGTATTTTTGTTTATACCTGGTTATATTACATTAAATTTTCTTTATTCCCCTTTAAATTAAATAATATTTTGAATAAACCCCAAATTCCTATGGCTATGCCTTACTGTATTCTATTTGCAATATGTTTATTAGTAATAATCCCTTGATACTTGACTTGAAAATCGGCAATAATATGATTAAATTGTTTTTAAAAGCAATAATTGCTTGCCATTAATTTGAATGTATTGAAGTACTCCATAATTTAAAATCAAATGTGTTATTGAAGTGCAATAAATGCAGCACTTGAATCGTGTATTACACTTATTATCGCATCAAATTCAAGTCATTTAAGTCATTATTATATAAATTAATGAGATATAATTATAATTGTGAAGGGTATTGTAATAACTTTCAAAATTAACTTGTACATACAATTATCTAATTAAAGGTCATGGAGAATGATTACATTAAATTGAAAATTTATATTTGGATTATTAATTTAATTGATTAATATAAGTCTTTGATTACGTTATTTCATAAATTTTGGTGAAAAAAATTGAACAAAATTTTAAAATTGCAACAAAATTCAATAATTTTAGTTTTTCACATTAATTGCAAGCATAATTACAATTATAAATAATAATTCTTTTCAAATTAATATTAGAAATCAATTATATCAGTTTAATTTGATTTAAAGTTTGAGTTTTCAATATTTATTTGTAGTATCAGTGAAAATGTCTTAAAAATAAAATTAAGATAATAGCCATACGTTTTCGGTCAACACTGTGACCATCATCAGGGCTTAAGATGTTAAGAGATATGAGAATGAGTTTCACTAATGAATTACATTATGTTAATGTAAATATTACAAATAACACGAATTAACAGATTCATTTTGTTCAATAACTTTAATGATTATGAAATAAGAAAATTTTTAAATATAAAAATATAAAAATGTTTATAAAGTTTAAAAAAACGGTTACAATAAATGCTATATAACACGATTACATGATTTAAATAATAAAAGATTTAACTTGACCGGTATAATCATAATTATAGATCAAATGATTGCCATGGTTTGTCACTATAAATACAGTATTAATAACCGATTGATTAAAATCCATTCATTCAAACACTACATAAATGAATACAAAACAATGATTTGTAGTTTTTGAACAAATGGTTCAATCGGTCACTAATTATACCATTAATTTACAAAACAAAACAATATTTATATAAACGGATAGGGATTGGGATACTTCACCGGTATTTGGGTAGGGATCGGGAGTATGAGAGGTACGGGTAGTACACTACAGTATATGGTACCGCATACTATTAACATGTAATACAAAATCAATTAAAATAAATAGAAAAGTTTCACTGAATATACAGTAAGTTAAGCGATAATTAAGACAATGATCATCAGAAAGGCTGTCCAATAATGACCACCTCATAGCTGATGCCCAGAAGTTCTTCGGACACGAAACGGATGTCCACATGAGTGGCACCGACACCACCCTCTTCTATGCTAACGGATCCGCCCTTTTGGTGGCAACACATCTTGTGGTCGATCACCAGAATAGCGGTGATGATAGCCCTCTGCGGCGGCCGATAGGGCACCACCACATCGATGGCACGTTTGCCCTCCAGAAGCAGCGATACTTGAAAGTCGCGGGCAATGAACTCATGGATTGGTCGATCACCAGAATAGCGGTGATGATAGCCCTCTGCGGCGGCCGATAGGGCACCACCACATCGATGGCACGTTTGCCCTCCAGAAGCAGCGATACTTGAAAGTCGCGGGCAATGAACTCATGGATTAGTATGTCTTGAGTATCAACGGTCGGCGTGTAGATTAGGCCTGACTTTCCCCGGTGTTTGTTCTCATCGATGTGTCGCTGAAATAAGACAATCAGTCGTTGGATGTCTTCGGAAGACAAGTGTTGTGTGTCGAGTGTCTTCTCGATCTGATCCAGAGTTGACCCATTGATTTGTGTCTGGGTTTGAAAGCATAGGTTCTTCAGGAAGTCCATGGTTTGGCCGCCAATTGCTTGATATACAGGATTGTATGAGTTGTGGGCTTTAAATGTCTACTAATTTGTAGTAAAAATTAAAGTTTTTCAAACACGTGACAAGTCTTTAGCCAAACTTAACGCAAAAAGTTTTGTTAAATATTTTGTGACTGTTTTTCTCACTTCCGGCTTAAAAGTTTGAAATATTAGTTTTAATGACTTTTTGTATAGAAATTGAAAAGTGTTGATTATTTTTGAATTATGCACTGTGCAGGGAGATTTTATTTGTTTATTAATTTGTTTGTAAGAGGTAATTTTTTAAGAAAATTAAATTATTTTACAATTACTTTTAATTTGAATTATATTTTTTAGATGAATTTATTTGATTTGATAAGAGTTTGACTCTTGAGTTAATGTGAGCTTAAAATGAAATAAAACTTTTAATTAAATAAATAATTTTTAAATATTTGATAAATAGGTATAAAATCCTAAACTAATGAGCGGATGAGCCATGAATTCAGAGCTCTTTGTTGATGAGGTCGAGGACCTTATCCTCTTCGCCCACGATCTCAATGGATCCGTCGGTGTGTCGGACATAACGGACACGATTCCAGTGCTCCTGATTATGCATGATGAGCCATGAATTCAGAGCTCTTTGTTGATGAGGTCGAGGACCTTATCCTCTTCGCCCACGATCTCAATGGATCCGTCGGTGTGTCGGACATAACGGACACGATTCCAGTGCTCCTGATTATGCATGTAATAGATCTCAGCGATGGCACCGGCAGTTGCCATCACAAACACTATGCTACAGAAGCCGTAAAAGTTTGCCTGTCTATAGGGCTGATCCAGTTTGGACTTTTGGGGGTTGACATGATTTTCATATAAATGTATTTTTATGATCATTATTATTGACAAACACTTACAAAGGTATCGTAGCACAGGTATGATGCCGAACCAAATAGCACTCCAATGATAGTGCCGTTCCCCACGTTGGCAATAGTCCGGATCACGTCTAATACTGTCATTATTAGGATTTACTTTTTTGTTTGATTTGTTGATTGCAATGCTATTGAAATTAATAACCGGCTGATTTGTGTTTTTGTATGAAATCACTACTGTTTATGAATTTCAAGTGTATGTGAAATTCATTTACTATTTTTTAATGTCAAGAATACATGACTACAGTAACAGTAAATAATAACTTGGTGATTAAATTGTTGAGATTAGATAACACTTTGTGTCAATAGACTACGGATAATAAAAGTTTGTAAATAAATGCAATTAATTTGTACTTTAAAATTGAGATATTTTGTTTAATAGTAATTAAATTAATTTTTAAACAAATATTACAAATGATTTAAAAATTAATATAATTAAGAAACCTTTAGTATTTAATAGTTACTGAGTTTTCAGACTATTAAATATATTGACCAAGGGCATTAATAGAGACTTAGGTCTCACTTGATTTGGCACTTTAGTCGGCGTTAACTCTATAATGGGCTCACATTTATCACCCGAGTCTTGACTGTACTCTTGAGGACAGATAAGATTGAGGACATCATCAGCGAAGCCATCGATAAGTTTCTCGATTTCGGTCACCACTTGATCCGTACATTTAGGTTGCGTCCCATCTCTGGCCACTTGTAATGCGTTTGACTTGAATTTATTGAAATTACTGTCAAAGCAATGATAAGAATATTTAAAAATTAGTTTTAATTGAAATTTATGTTAAATTTGTTGTAAAAAAGTTTTTTTGACTTAATTTTGATGAATACTAACCAACAGAGTAACGGTATTTTCATTGACTTCTGTGGCGCTGTATTGATGGCAACGTTGATATCGATAAAGTTATACATGAGCTGATCCAGGGTCTGTTTGCGGGCATTGGTGCACTCGCCTACAGATATGAATGCCTCCTGACTGATCAATGAGGAACAGTAGCCCTTATTAGTCTTGACGGCGCCGTTCACTAAGACTCCGGTGATTTGTCGCGAGAATGGGTCAAAACATTTGAGGGAATATTCTTTGACACACTTCTCAGTTGACGTTAAGGTGCTGTTGATAACCAAAGGAATGGGAGTATTTAGCAAATGGGTAAGTTTAGGACTTAATGGTCTTACCCGCAATGGTTAGCCATATCGGCCTTATTTAATGGGAACGTGAATGACGGGTTGCCTATCATTAGGAGGTTTTGCATACAGGTGTCGGCCGCGTCAAAATGACCACAACTTCCCTGAACGCCATATACACCGCTTATTGTGGTGATTATTACGATTAATAAATTGCTTAACATTTTTAGTTAAATACAGAGTATTTTAGTGTTGAATTTGCATGAAATGAATTAATCATTTACTAAATTGTTTAACAAAAGTTGACTGTCTTATATATCATAGATAGTCTAATGTCCAGAAAAGTGTTAAATATTTGCCGAAATAGATATAAAAATGATTTGTTTTGTAAAAATCCAAAGTTTTATTTGCTTTGATTTCCCATTGATGTCAAAATAATTTGAACATTAAATATAGTTTTATTTAATTATTTATAAGAAATGTTAATCATTTTCAATCATAAGAATAATAGACGTATATATTTGAGCAATTGAATTGAAATTCATTTGATTTGTTGTATATTTGTTAATCATATCTTAAATTTTATCTGTAATTATAGAAAATTGTGAAAAACTAATAGCTATTGTGAATAATCTAAAAATATTCATATTATTTTCATTTAAATTTTTATCTATTACAGTATTTTTTGAATTTTAATATTACATATTTTCATATTTAATATAAATTAAATTTATTTTATAATTAAACCAACATAGTAAAGTTAATCAAACGACATATCATGCGATAAATTAATTTACAAAATTTTCCTGGTTATTGTTAAATATTGTTAAATTTTCCTGGGTATAAATTATTTATTTAATTTATGTAATAATAAATTAGTAAAATTATAGTTATAATATTTATTATGAAATTAAAACCCAAATCTATACTAATAGTTAATTCAATTAGTATTTTAATGACTAAATTGATGTCTATTTTAATATTAATAAAACTAAATTCAAAAATAGATTTAATTTTAAGTTTTGAGTCAAACTTTTGGCACAAATAATGACAGCATTTGTGGGAAAACCAGTCAATCATTGCAACAGAAACTCAGTTGACGTCAAACACACTGTTATTGTCACTCATTTACCACTCTTTTGCCATCAATTATCTCTTCGCGAATATCTTTGGATCAGATCTAATCACTTGTCACTCACTCGACATCTGCCACACCATTAGCATAAATACCCGGATCACATTTGTTGGTGATTGACCACAACTAACCTCTCTTTTGGTTGAACACATGAACCGACAAACTCGTGAGTAAACTATACCACCATTTGGCTTAAGATAATACATATTAGACATAGTAGTAGTGATCAGTATATACCTACCGTTCCCACCGATACTAATGTGAGTGTATTTGCAGCGCAAAGCCCGATGTCATGGGAAGGGGAGTCCAACTCAATGGCCGGTGACTTCTGGATGGAAATGCATGACTCGTATGTCCGACACTCCCGGAGCCACTCATCCGACGTTAATGTGGTGTTCATCGGGGCGTCGATTGTGCAGTACTGGTGCCAAGAGGGCCGACAAATGTGGGACGACTACTACCGGCGCAAAGGGGCTGTCAATTACGGGATCGCCGGCGACACCATTCAGAACGTGTTGTGGAGAGTAGAGCACCGGGTGTTGGAGGGACTGCACCCAAAAGTGCTGGTCTTGCAGTGCGGTACTCATTGACACCCTTTTTCATTACAATTAGTTATCTATTGATTAGTGATTATAATGTTGTGTTGTGGAGAGTAGAGCACCGGGTGTTGGAGGGACTGCACCCAAAAGTGCTGGTCTTGCAGTGCGGTACTCATTGACACCCTTTTTCATTACAATTAGTTATCTATTGATTAGTGATTATAATGTGTGGGAAATGTCTGTTAACTAACTGTAACGTAAGCTATGATCTCATTTTAGTACTCATTTAGTCATTGATGTTATAAATTGTGGTGTTTTTCACTGATTATCAATGAATTGCTTCTTAAGATTAGGTCATAAATAACTTAATAGCAGATCCTATTGTATTTATTTGACATTAGTTTTCATGTGACTATGATTTTATTGACTATTTGGTAACTAATTGTAACTAATGTTTGATGTACTGCTGTGTATATTAGGGGCCAATAATATGGAGCCGTTTGGTCCGCCATCAGATGAGGACATAGCCCGTGGTATCGGACAACTAATCGCTCAGATCCGGACCCAATTACCTGAAACCAAGATTATATCCATCGGTTTATTCCCATTCAATCACCACATGTTCACAAAGAGGGCCAAAAGGGTCAACGAATTGTTGGCCACAAACGCCGATGAGTTGAATGTGTTTTTCATTGATTTAANGGGTCAACGAATTGTTGGCCACAAACGCCGATGAGTTGAATGTGTTTTTCATTGATTTAATACCACATATGACTGACTCGAGTGGTAAGCAAAAGCCGGAACTGTTTGCCGATGGCCTACACCTGTCCTCAAAAGGTTACAATGTGTGGCACCAGTGTATGCGTCCAATCATTGAGAAGTTGTTGTAAATGATGACAATATTGGTTTAGTTGAATCACATTTTGTTATAAGTTTTATATTTTTGTATTTGTCTATACTTTTATAAATAAATTTTAATTAAAATATGTTTTAATCTGGATTTACTTAAATGTTTGTGAGAATGTGTAAGTGCACCAAAAATAGTATTACCGTACATGAATTTTTAATTTTAAAATTTTATTTTATTTGAAATAACGAAAACCACATGATTTTGAATTTAATTACTGGTTGACAATAGTGGTAATTAGTCAAAAAATGTAATGTTGTAGATTTAAAAACGTATTTTATTATGGCCATTATACTTTAGTTAAAATTTTTATCTTTAATTTATATATTTATTTAATAAAATATCAACGTATATTTACGTAATTAACTATTTATTTATTTTAAGATTAATCGTATCATACCAATTAAAAAGTTAAAATTAACTACCGATCAGTACATTAGTACAAATAAAATTTTATTAATTTTTAGACTCAAATAAATTATGAAAGATAATTTAACTTTTAAGGAAAACCGTTATATTGTTTTCACAATGAGATTATGAATACTAATGCACTAAAAAAGAGCAAATATTATCACAATT